TGTGGTGGTGAGGGTGGGGGTGGCATTCCCAGGCTAGGAAGAGGAGGAGGTGGGGGAGAGACACCAGCCCCAGGTAAAGGTGGTGGTGGAGGGGCAGGTGGGATTCCCCAACTGGACAGAGGGGGTGGGACTCCTGCTCCTGGCAAAGGTATTGGAAGAGGTGGTGGTTGGACTCCAGCACTTGGGAGAGGAGGGGCTAGAGGCAGCGCCAGCATCTCCCCATTTGGCAAAGGTGGAGGCGGAGGGGGTGGTGGCACACCAGGCAACGAGTGGTCCAGGTGTGGCACCACTGAGCCAGCAGGAGGAAATTCTGAGCTCGGCAGGGGTGGTGGGGGTGGTACTCCTGGCATGGACATAGGAGTGGCAAGGGAAGGGCCATGTGCTCCAGACAACGGAGTAGCCAGTTCTGTGGCTGGCTGTAATGTGGGAATGCTACATGTGGGCTCCACGGGCAAAGAAGGAGAACAAGTCACATCTACAGTACTTAGAGGCTGATGGGAAGATGGCATTTCAGTCTCTCCTTCAAACACAGAGGACAAATTAACTTTGGGTGCTGGAAGAGGTGACTGCGGCGTGCTCTGTACCGATTGGCTTGCATCCAGCGGCACCGAAATTAGCTTCGGTGAAAGAATTAAGGAGATTTCAGAACAAAACATGGGCTGTAGTTCTAGAGCTGCCAATTTCTCAGTTGATCCTTCACTTTTGCCCCCTTCCAAGTGTGGTGGGGGGGGTGGCTGTGGCAGTGCACTGGCTGAAGGCATTGCGTGTGTTAAATAATCCTCTGTTGGTGACGTTTGTACAGATCTTGCTTGTGACACAGTCCTGGGTACAGTCTCCTCACTCTTTGTTTGAAGAGTCACACTGCTGAGTTCCCCACAGACTGTTTGTGTGTGCTCATTTTCTTGCTCCCTCCCAGCAGTCTGGAGCTCTGCAGCAGGGAACTGTTTCTCTAGTTCTGCAATTTTGGTCCTCAGATCCTCAATAGTCCGCTCAAGTTGTTGAATGACACTGGCACGCTCCTCAGATTTCACCTCAAAATCATCCTTTGAAAGAAAAGAAATACGTAATAAGCACAAAACAGACAATATTCATTGCTATATAAAAAAATAAATATAGATCAAGAATATTGGTATTCCAGATGTTCACAAATAAGCCAGTTATGACAAACCTTTAAAAAAAAGAGGTATCGCTTTGTCCTAGCTGCATCTTACAGTTGAAGAACATAGCTCAGGAGAATGATTTGTTTCAGCATGAAACTACCTTCATCAGTATGAGCATGTTCTGGTCTGTAATTATGCATGGTAAAACCAAAAATCAACAAACACCCCTCCCTCCATCCACATACCCTAGCCAAGAAAACAACCAACCACTGAGCACAAGTACTGCAAGCGTTTGTGCACACACGGATATGCAAGCCTAGTGATAGGAAGAGCACTACATTACTTTGTCTTAACTGCAAATATGTTAGGTGTTTCTTCAAAAGGCTGTACTGCACATAACAGACTAAACATGCTACTGACCACTGGGTTTCAATATACACCTTAATGATACAGTACAGATCAGGAATGCAGAACATAACAAACGTGAACTTTTCAAAAACAACTAATCTCAGAACAGATCAATTATGCTTTTCTCCAGCCAGCATGCTTGGGAAGGAAAAGAAGTAAGACAAAGCTAGGTGAGAACTTCCCTCCCATCCAAAACGTAAAGTTCCTCTACCAAGTGACAGACTGTGAGTGAGCAATGTTAGAAAAGCTTCCTGTCTGGAATGGTTATTCTGTATGTGACAGTTTTCACACTTTTTATATCTGAAGCATCTCATCCTTGCCTGCTGTAGACTGAGTATAAGAACCCTTAACCTTAAATGGCACAGTAATTCCTATGTTTTTAAATAAATATCAGTAACAAACTGTACTTAATTTAATAGGTATGAGCTTTTATCAAAAGTTACCAAAAGAAGTAATCAAGTCCAAAACTAGCTATTTGAGCTTGTTCAGGAAACTTGAACAGGAGATAGAAGAGACATGACTTTACAACACAATTTTTTTTAATAAAGAACATATTTTCTAGTTGCATACAGTTACTGTTTAATACTTTTTTTTTTTCTTTAAATTTGGAATATGGGTCAGCACTTCAAGCATTTAGTTAAGTTTGCCATGCAACAGGTTTCCCAAGTGGTTGCAGCAAAAAAGTTATTTAGTGCCTTTTTGTTCTCTTTTATAAAATCATAAGCTTCATGGATGAGACTGCAGGCTTACTTCATAGGTAATCTTTCAAATATTGAAATTTTACAGGTCTTGTAAAGAAACCTATGAATAAACATGTAATACCTGGTGCATTAATTGCCTTGATTTGTTTCAGAAAGATGTTTTCCATCTCATTTTTTAACACAAGAAACATTTTAAAGTAATTTTTCTTTCTGGAAAATGAAGTTGGAACTTCCAGCTGGGTACTGTTAATAAAATGTATGTTTGTTAACATCAGACATGTTAACAAATAGTATAATAACAAGGAAAAAAGGCTGGAACATACATTTCCATTACAGACTACTCATGGTGCTTCAATCTACTCAATTTCCTTTAATAACTCAATACTTCATAGCAGCAAGTTTTGCTGAAGAACTGCATTATAAAGGAGAGAGAATATTCTGTTACCCCTTTGTTTCATCTGCTCTTATCTCACTACCAGTCATCTGCAAATACAATAATAAGGCCTATGAATTCTTCAAAAGGCAACATTATCAAAGGAAATGTGTTCCTAGGATTACAGCCACATACCAGTTTTCAGTTATTTGAGAAAAAATTCAGTTTCCTCAGACTGACTCTCCTAAGCTCCCATTTTACACCATAAGAACACTCCAGTGAGGATTTTCAGACAGATACAGATTCCTGATTTTATCTGAATTGGAAAATTTATTCCTGCCACACACAAAATGAAGTCAACAGGATTAGACAACATTAAATGGTTCTAAGGAGATTTACCTTAGTGATGGCTGACCTCAGAACTGTTCACTGTTTTAAAATCTTTGTTGCTCAGAATATTGGACTCAATTTTTCAAAAGAAAAAAAGAGGTAATCCTTGAATCCTGAAATTCTACCTGAACTACAGGAAAAAAACTTAGAATTTACTGTTTACAAGATAATTTATCCTGCAAGCCAAGACATTTCTATCAAGAGAAGAGACTTTTTTTTTTAAGTTTAAAAAAATGGGCCATCAAGTGAGATGATTAAGCAATATTGACAAGAAATAAAAATGTATCAATGAATTAAAGTAACTTTTTACCCCATGCCTTAAGAACCAATTTTGAGACATGGCATTTCAAACAACCTGATGATTTTGCTGCTGTGTTGTAACCTAAGAATCACCAATATATCCAAGGTTTTCACAGAAATAGCTTATTAAGAACAAATAAGACTTTGCTGTGAATGTAGAAATATCTATCCAGAAGAAATTACATACTTCAAATTTATTTGGTTTAAAAATCAAACAAAAACCAGAATGAAGCCTCAGTATTTATATGCTTCAGTAATTATTTTAGCTAAGTACACTTTGCATTGTCATTTTTGAGATGCCCTCAGACTAGTTTAAATATATTTGTGCCTTTCCTCAAGCAAGAAGTACAAAGTCTTCATCTAGATAAGAAAGGGCTGAATCAAACAACCATAAGCCACAGCAAGCTTCCACTATTCTCAACAAGGAAGAAAATTTGAAATGTATCTGAAGTTCAATAAAAAATGAAAATTAGACAGTTTTCTTCAGGAAAGAAAGAGAAGACTTAATTTTTCACATATGCAAAATATGATCAAAAGCTGTTGACAAGAACCAGAAGACCAGATAAAAAAATACACATCATGAAAAGAAGATTCATTTTTAATCCAAAGGACAATTCCACAGCAGAAACCTACAGGGTTTAAAAGAGATATGAGGGAACTCTCTCTTGCCTAGAGTTCTTACCCAGGACCCAGGCACTGTGGAACAGTCTTCTTTCTGTAAAGAAAGAAAGAAAGAAAGGTGGAAGCTTAAGCCTTGCTTTATCCAGATGACTTGAATGTGAAAGATGTAAGCAGGAAAAAAAATTCCAGAGGTGTATGGCTATAGAATGGAGCACAGCATTTCTCAAACAGGTTGTAAATGTTTCACATGCAATGAGTTGGATGCTCAGACTGGGACTGCTGGACTGACTGTGTTTGTGTTGCACTGATAGGCTTGTATGTGTACAGTATCCAACTGATCTGGGAATGCTGGCTTTACTGTACAAAGATTGTACACTTGGATCTGCACATGTACCAAAAGCCTCTACATTACATCCAATTCATTCCAATCTTGTCATGTTTCCCACATATGCATATCAGATGTCCAGCATAAAGCTACTCTATATAGATAGCACACACACAGGATCTTCAAACATGTAAAAGCTCAGATTGCAGCTACCTTCTCTACTGAGTCTGATGACCTAGTTTCTCAGATCAGTGACTGAAAGCTAAAGACACTTCTATAGCTAAACTTATAGGTAGAAAAAACCCCACATACGTGTGAAATTTAACCCTAGTCTGTATGTGTGTATATATACACACACACGTTTAAATTACATATATATTTCTTTATCTATATCTATCTCAGTTTGCCTTCACTTCTATACTTTATGAACATCGAGAATGTACCTTTTACTTCTGCAAATACACACAATGGCAGTTCTAAATGGTAATTTTGGAATGTTTAAAAAATAAAGACATTACAGTTTAGTTTTAGAAGTCAATGCCTTACACTATTACAAGCCAAGAAATTGCATCAGCAGTTTGATAATTTTTCAGCAATTTGTCAGTGTAATGAAATTTCCTCTCTGGATGGAATTAATATTTAGATTATAAGATTATAATTCCTGGGGTTTTTCCAAAACATTAACCTTTTAGTTTCTGAACATATGAATTCATGATTCATAATCTATGTTGCTCCCTCACTGCAAGCATGCACAAGGAATAGAATCATACAGTTAAACAGGAATAAAATGGCAAAATAAATGACCCCTCCAGTCTTCCAATAAGGCAACACTTGGTGGTACTAACAGCATCCACTTACTTTGGCAGGATGCTCTTTCCAACTGCTCTGCTAATGTCTCTTTTCTATGTGAAATGAAAAATTTTTTGAGTGCACGTGCTCACTGAATGGCACAAAGTAGTGCGACAGTAAGAATTTAATTCAAAGAAATGTGATCTCTGTTCAGCTCTCTCCTTTTAAAACTGTCTTATTTTCAAAACTGCTTCTTGCAGCTGTAGATAAACCTTAAGAAAGGGAGACACAACATTGCAACAGGCATTTTCAGTGCTGTCATGACTGTTGAATGACAAGTACTGATAGATGCTAGATTTGTGTTAAAACAAAACGGCATTTATCTAATTAATTCTCAGAGACAACTGCTGAAAGAATAGAATTAGTCTTGGATACCAGTTTTTTCCTCAGACTACAAAATGGTGTAGTGCGCTGCCCTGCCTCAAGCAATAAACTTAATTTGGTGGGAATGAGCTGATCTCCCACACAGTGACACACTGCAACAAATGAATTATACCAGCCTGCACTGTGCTGCCACTGTGACTACTTAGCTCTTTCTAAGCTAAAGAGCCAGGACACCTCTAAGCAACCAACAGGTCTTGCATAACCTATCACAGGTGATAAAAAAAAACACATTACATGCAGAAATCAATAATTATTGCCGTTCAAACACACAATGAAAGGATCAGCAGGGAGCACAGACCTTTGAAGAGAGATGCATGCATTACAAATGCCAGCTTTAAACCTGGAAGTCAGAAGAAAACAGTTATGTTCAGGTTAAGCTTCCTGAAGCTTCTGTTCCTTAAAAGCTTGAAATCCTTATTCCTGGGCTAAGTCCATTTCAGTGGACAAGATCCTTGTTCTTCACAGTTCAATTTTAGTAAATATGTAAAAGCAACTTGAGATGCATTGAAGTCTAAAAGAACTTTCTCTCTATAAACTGTAAAACTCTTAACTGAGCTGAAATACAGCCTTGGATTATCTGCAAGTTCTGGCA